GGGCGTGTCCTCCTACAGGCGGAGCTTGGAGGGAAAATGAAAGATAGCCAACACATGCTCAAACATAGTCAAAAATAGTCGAAAGATCGTCCCCATACTATTTTCTGACAATCTTTGAATATTCCTCCTGTAGAGGGACACGCCCGACTTAACTTTACGGAGTGAGCGTGCAATATAATGCTAGTCTGTGTCCTGGAAAACGTGTTGTTTTTTCATAGGGCCGACTGCCCCCCCTCGACGCACGCACCTCGGAAAAATCGGCACCCCCACCCCCACCCATCGAAGTTGCTCTCCCTCTCCGGCTTTCGTTTCGGCATTGAGACGGTCAAGATGACTCCCAAGACGGCTTCCAAAACAGTCAAGATTACACAAAGACGGCCCCAAATGGGCAGAACTGCACAAGAGGCTCCCAAACGGCCCCAAGACGGCTCGAGAGGCTTCCAAGATGGCTCCAAGAGGCCCTCCAGGAGAGCCCGAGGAGGCGAAGCACATGGATATTCCTTCGGTATTTGAAAGACGTTGGGGTTCTCATCTGTTTGGGTTCCGACAGCCCAAGACGGCACAGAGGCCTCCAAGACAGTCCATGAGGCTTCCAACGAGGACCCGATGATCGCCAAAGAGCCTCCCAAGGAGGCCCAAACATCGCCCCAAAGCGCTCCAAGCTGGCACCAAGGCGGCCCAGAAAGGCCCCCAAGACGGCGGCCGAAGGCGTCAGACAGGCCAAGAGCCCCTCAGACGGCCCAAGAGGCCCCAAGAGGCGGCCAATAGGCCCCAAGATACCCCAAGGGGCCCCCAAGAGGCCCCCAAGAGGTCCCGAGGAGGCTCCCAGGAGGACCCAAGAGACCCCTCTAAGAGATCTGTTTCTCCTTGCCTTCCTTTTCTCCCTCTCCCCCTGCTTCTCCTGCTCCTGCGCCTGCTCCTGCTCCAGCTCCTGCTCCTGCTTCTGGTCGCCTCCTCCCCTACCGCGCTGACGAAGACGAGGTCGAGTTCATGACCCTCCTCAAAATTCAGACCGCTCGCTGAACTGCAGCGGGGAGTAACCTCGACCTGGCTCCACCGCGCGGACGAAGACGAGGTCGAGTTCACCACCCGTCCCAGCTCAGACAAGTCGTCAAACTGCGCTGTTCCTACACTCCGTCTCCGTCCTGCTGCGCTGTTGCGCAGGCACAGTGGCGTGGCGATATTTGCCGCAGACGGCAGGGAGTTTGTCTACCTGTTGTTATACACACATACATACAGACAGACAGACAGACATACATACATGCATGCATGCATGCATTCATACATACACGTACACCCATATGCATACACATGCATATACATACACATAAACATATACATACACGCATGCATATACATATACGTTTACACGTACATATACATATACATGTACATACACATATACATATACATATACATACACGTATACATACACATGCACATATACATATACACATACACATGTATATACATATACATATACACATACATATACACATGCATATACACATACATATACATATTTACACACGTATACATATACATATACACATGTACATACATATACATGTACATAAGCATAACCATGTACACATACACACATATACATATCCATATGCATATACATGTACACTTACATATACCTATACATGTGCATATGCATACATACATGCATACATGCATACATTCATTCAAACATACACACACATGCGTACACACATACATGCATACGCACATACATACACATACATACGTACAGTCATGCATACCTGCATACGTACATGCATACGTACATTCCATACATATGTACATGCATGCACCCATACACGCATACACACATACATTCACACGCATGCGCACATACACATACATGCATGCATGCATGCATGCATGCATGCATGCATCCACAAACACATACAACCACTCATACATACATGCATACACACATACATACATACAGACACACATACACACATACATACATACGTACGTACGTACATACATACATGCATGATTAAATACATACATACGTACATACATACATACATACATACATACACACGTGCATACACACTATATATAACGCGTATGTTCATGTGTCTATGCATATATACGGACTGTGTTGTATAAATCCTATGCGTTCAATCCGCTGCGTCACAAAACGCTGCTGGGAAACCATCGGGACAACCATCGGGACATCCGTCTGGACAACCCTCGGGACAACCATCGGGACAACCAGCTGGATTAGCAACCGGGCAACCACCAGGACAACCATCGGGACAAACAGCGGAACAACTGTTGGGACAACCATCGGGACAGCCATCGGAACAACCATCAAGACAACCGTCGGGACAACCAGCGGGCCAATCATCGGGACAACCGTCGGGACAACAATCGGGCCGACCATCGGGACAACCCGCACACACAAGCCGGGCCGAGGCGATTCATTGTGGCCAGACCTGGCCTCTACTAGAGCAGGGGCTCACGCACCTTCGCCTCGCCGCGCCCGCACGCATGTCACGCACGACACAAGTCGAACCAGACATCGACCAACCTCTTCCGACTAGGCGACCAGGCCGCTGGACAGCAACCCGATCGGGAAGGCCCCATCTGATCCATCAGGAGCAGCAACACCTTCGACGCTCTCCGTTGCAAGCAGTGCGGCACACCGCGGGCGGAAGGGCGAAATGTCGCCCTTCCGCCTCGGCGCGGCGCCCACTTCCTGAGCACATCGGGCTCCCGCCCGGGCGCGGCGCACATGTTCCGCTCGGCAAGGCGCCGACGCGCCAGCGGACGAACCTGTCGCTGCGCAGAGATCGCCTGAAAGTGGCGCGTCCGCCTCGGCACGGCGCAGAAGTGCCTCTCGTCAAGTCGTTGGGGGCGGGGCCGCGCCTCATCGGAGATTGGACCGCCAAGGGCGCAACCGTCGCCACTTTTGCGAGAACGCGTTTCACGGGCGCTTGCCTTGGGAACAATCGGCGGCGCGTTTCGAACGGGGGGGGGGCCTCCCCCCAACACTCGGCGCCGTCGATCAAAACCAAGGGGACTCCCCTCCCCCCCAAACCCCCCCCCTCCCGACACCCCCCCCTCCCAAAGGGAGGGGGAGGGTTTGAATCCCCCCCCCCGCTGGCACCGGCGGCCGCCAGCAGTGCCGACGGCGGGGACGCAGCGACGATGACCAGACGCAGCCAAACGGGGGGGGCCCCCCCCCCTTCTGGCGCCGGCGCCAGCGCTGGCGGCGGCCAATAGCGCCGGCGCTGACACCGGCGACGGCGGGGACACATCGACGATAACCACCACTACCACCACCACCACCACCACAACCACCACCACCGCCTCAACCCACCACCACCACAAATCCACCACAGAACCACCAACACCACCACCACAACCACCACCACCACAACCACCACCACCACATCTCACCATCACCACCACCACCACAAAAACCCACCACCGCTACCACCACCACCGCCACCACAATCTACCACGCCACCACCACTACCGCCACAACCAGCACCACTACCAGCAGCACAACCCACCACCACCACCACCACCACCACCACCACAAACCACCACACACCACCACCACCACCACCACCGCCACCACCACCACCACCACCTCCACAAACCACCGCCACCACCACAACCCACCACCACCACCACAAACCACCACCACACCACCACCACACCACCACCACCATCCACCACCACAACCACCACCACCACAGCAAACCACCACACCACCACCACCACCACCGCCACCACCACCACAACCGACACCAGCACCACCACCACAACCCACCACCATCACCACCACTGTCGTCCTCGTCGACGCTCCCCGCCGCCGCCCGCCCGCCGCCGCAGGCGCTGGCGCCAGCCCAGAAAAGGAAATCGTTGTCCCCGCCGCCGCCGCCAGCAGAGGAGAGCGAGAGAGAAGAAGTAGGGAGGGGAGAGGGGGTCCAGTTCCAACCCTCCCCTCCAAGCGACCACAGAACGCGCTCTTTCCCATGTTTGTGTGCTCTTGGAAGATTCAGCGCAGTGACGCCCCACGCGGACCCAAATGAGGGCTCGCCTCTCTGGGGGCTGCCAACTGCACAACTGCCCCTGGAAGGTCCAGCGCAGAACCCAAATGAGAGCTCGCCCCTCTGGGAGCTGCCGACTGCGCAACTGTCGCCACTTTCGTATGGAAGGCCCAGCGTAGTGACGCCCCACGCGCACCCAGATGAGAGCTCACCTCTGGGGACCCCACGCGCACCCAAATGAGAGCTCGCCTCTCTGGGAGCTGCCAACTGCGAAACTGGCGCCACTTTCGCGAGCTCCTGGGAGGTGCAGCGCAGTGACGCCCCACGCGGACCCAAATGAGAGCTCGCCTCTCTGGGGGCTGCCAACTGCGCAACTGACGCCACTCTTATGAGCTTCAGGAACGCGTTCCGACGTTCTCTGGCGAAGCGTTCAACGGTCCCCCAATGTGTCCACGTCTTGAGCGGTCCTGCATATGGATGCTTCGCGTTTAAACAAAAATTGGGTACGTCCCTGGGTAAATTCCCTTCGCCAGGTCGTCGGGAAGGAAGCCGCGAGCGAGCGCCTTCCGTTCGCTTCGTGGGAACGCGTTCCGACCCGATGATCCAGTTGTGCAACCATTTGTTCTTATGGGATGGAGGGTGGGAATCGGCGGGGCCCGCTGGCTCGTTCGACTTGGATAAGCTCACTCACTCCTCCTCCTCCTCCTCCTCCTCCTCCTCCTCCTCCTCCTCCTCCTCCTCCTCCTCCTCCTCCTCCTCCTCCCTCCTCCTCCTCCTCCTCTCCCTCTTCCTCCTCCTCATCGTCCTCTTCCTCCTCCTCCTCTCCCTCTTCCTCCTCCATCCTCATTTTCCTCTTCCTTCTCCAACTCCTCCTCCTCCTCCTCCTCCAACTCCTCCTACTCTTTCATCCTTCTCCTCCTTGTACTCCTCCTCTTCCTCCCACTCGTCCGCGCCACCCGACATGGCGTCGAAAGCTTCGTTCGCGGCGTCGAAGCTCTCCTCGCTGTCGAGCAGCGAGATCCTCGTGTCGACGCCGGGGAGGACGAGCTCGGCAATCTCTGGATCCTGGCAGGGCTGGGCTGGCCACGTGGTGACGCGATCCTGGCCCCTCCCCTCTGAAGGCTCCACGGACAGAAGATGGTCAACACGCGCTGCCGAGGCAGCACTGCACAATAGACCACCTGCGACAGTAGAAGAAATGTCGCTCCTCCCCCTCCCAAGTGGGCGTCCCTCTCCATGTGCCCGACGCGTGCTCGGCGCGGACTTGGCGGGGGTTCGACGCGGATCCGACGTGGATTCGCCGCGGCAGGGGCGCGACGGGACAGACGAGGTCCCCGCTGCGGGATCGAGGATCGTCGAGGACTGCGACGATCGCCGACGATACCGAGGATCGAGGGCATCCAAGACGGGCGGGACGGGCGAGGATCGAGGGCAGCCAGGATCGAGATCGAGCAGCCTCGGGGGCCTCCTGCTCCCCGCCTCGCCCTCCTGCTCCCCTCCCCCCCCTCGTCGAACTCTGCCCTCGACCCTCGAAGGCCGCGGGGGGAGGAGGAGGAGGAGGAGGAGGAGGAGGAGGAGGAGGAGGAGGAGGAGGAGGAGGAGGAGGAGGAGGAGGAGGAGGAGGAGAAGAAGGAGGAGGAGGAGAAGGAGGAGGAAGGAGGGAGGAGAGAGGAGCAGGAGCACGAGGAGGAGGAGCAGGAGCACGAGGAGGAGGAGGAGCACGAGGAGCACGAGGAGGAGGAGGAGGAGGAGGAGAGGAGGAGGAGGAGGAGGAGGAGGAGGAGGAGAGGAGGAGGAGGAGGAGGAGGGAGGGGGGCAGGGCACTTGTCTGGCGACGTGGGCCCTCGCCGGGCTGCCAGGAGCCTCCGGGCGCCAGGATGCCCCCGGGGACCCCCAGGGGCCAGGATCTGTGGCGGCAGCAAAAATTTACCACGCATCCCCACAAGTAGGGGAACGAAGTCTATAACCCGACGCTATTTTCCGGCCCTGTACTGCAACTTGCGGCCAGGAAAGCAGCTCCTGGTGTATACGAGACCCTGGCGTATACATGTTTCGTTGTTTCCCCGGGAAAGCGGGGGTAAAACATGTGCACCACACCACCCCGTCGTCGTCCCAAACCCTCAAAAAGACGTGGGATTGAAAAACATCCCGCCACTGGTAATGTATGTGTTCCAGTTTCCAAGCAAAGGCAAGGCAGGGAGGAGGGTAAGGAAGACGGAGCATGAGCGCTCGCACGCATAAGAATTATCAATCCTCTCCTTGTTGACGGCGTTGATGAACTCCAGCTTGGAGATCAAGCCACCGCCATCCGCATCGATGCGTCCCCAGAGGTCTTTCAGAATGCAGACTTCGCGGAAATGGTCGACGAACTCCGTGTGGCGAACTCGCGGCTTGCCGCCTCTTCTTTTTAATGGTATGAATACAATTACTAGTACTGTTGTATCATGATTATTATTCATGTTCGCATCATGAATTACTATGATTATAACTATTGTTTCTTATTATTCTTCTTACTATTTCCCCTCGTCGTCCTCCTCATCCTCCTCCTCCTAGCCTGTCTGGCCAGAGGGGACATATTCGAAGGGCAACTAAAGACCCCAGAATGCCACCGCCGCGTTCTCGACACTCCCCCAGCGTGTAGCGCTCGGGCAGCCCCGACTGATGCAACGCTTGCGGGCATCTTGTACAATGTACTCTCTCTACGGCAGGATGGCAGGTTGCAGGATATTGCAAAACAGTTGCGATCATGTCTGGTGATTGGACTGCAAAGAACACAGTGTTCACCAGATCCCCGCGGGCTTGCTTGTCAGCAAGATAGACTGGGTCATTATCATCCTTTTCGTTGGCATCGTGCAGGTGGATCGGTGTGCCGCCCGACAGGCCTCGCGCTGCTGCTGAGCTTCAAAACCTTCCCCAGCCACACCATCCGCCACGTGATGACCCCGAAAGGCTGGGAAGGCAGGCCAGGCGCCGTGCGTTGTAGAGGGAAGATCATAGATCTGACGTTCATTGTTGGCTACGCCCCGACCGAGCCCCACGACACGACGAAGGAGAGAGGTGCGCATGAGAAGACATGTAAGTTGCTCTGGGAAATCCGGAAGAGTTTAGTGGACACGCTGCCGGCTCCGGAGGCGCCGCTGGGGGGCCCCGGCGCCGATCCGAGAACTCCGCGCGGACCTCCGAGTTTCTATGTCTATGCCACTTTTTGCTCCCCTGTCTCTGCCGCGGGCTCGGAGCCGGGCGAGCTGGCCTGCCTTCCCGCTGCCGCTGGCGCCAGGCTGGTGGCGCAGCGGCCCCAACCCTGCGAGGGCGCGGCGACCCCTCGTGTGCGCACGCCTCTTCGCAGCATGGCCGCGGCCCGTGCTCCTCGTGGTCGCTCTGCCGCTCTTGCCCGTTCGTGCCGCGGACGACGGAGGTCTCGCGCGCGCCGGAGTGAGTGGCCACCGGCGGTCTGCGCAGCAGCGGCTCCTCCATCGAGGCCGCAGGGTTTGTGCCGCTGCGCGCGGAGGAGGCTGCCGCGACGGCTGGGACGTCGGCGCCGACTGACTCCTCGGCACTTGGCCCAGCTTTGGGGGGCGCTCGTAGGATTGCCCCGCCGACGGTCAGTTCTTCGGCACTTGATCCAGACGTTGGGGGCACCCGTAGAATTACCCCGTCGACGACTGGCTCCTCAGCGCTTGGTCCAGGCGGCGGGGGCACCCGTAGAACTGCCTCGCCTTCGACTAGTTCTTCAGCAGTTGATCCAGACGTTGGGGACATCCGTAGAATTGCCCCAGCGACGACTGGTCCCCGGCACTTGGTCCAGACGTTGGTGGCATCCGTAGAATTGCCCCAGCGACGACTGGGCCTTCGGCACTTGATCCAGACGTTGGGTATACCCGTAGAATTGCCTCGCCATCGACTGTTTTTTGCGGCACTTGGTCCAGACGTTGGGGGCACCCGTAGAATTGCCCCGCCGACGACTGGCTCTTCGGCACTTGGTCCAGACTTTGGGGGGACCCGTGGAACTACCCCAGCGACGACTGGTTCTTCGGCACTTGGTCCAGACGGTGTGGGAATCCATAGGAAAGCCTCGGAGCACGCTGCGGATCTCGACGCGGAGGTAGTCATCCTCGCGGTTGCTTTGGTATTCGACGCGGTTGCTCTCGTCTCGGCCTTGGTGACAGTCCTCTTGGAGACAGGCGTCAATGTCTTCTCGTGCGTGCCGCCCATCGGTACCAGGAGTGCCGATGCTCATTATCTGCGATGTGCTGACAATTCGAAGCGTTCCAGCAACGACTCTTTCATTGTACTCGCAGATGCATGGGAAATGTTGGGAGACGGAACCTTGCCATGTGCCATCTGTGAGCGACGGGATCTCTGCTGGCTTCGCGACTCGGAATCCAATTCGGAGATGTCGCTTCCGTCTTGCACGCCCGCCACCCTTGCGCAGGAATCGATATGATGAGATCTTTAGTCGCTGTCCGTTGTCTTCGTGATTGTGCAACCTCGTGCACCGTACCCTGCCGTGTCGATGTGCCTATGTGTACTGTCCTTTCTCGCTTCGCCGCCCTCGGAGGAGCTGTCTCGCGGGCATCGTGTGAACCCATGAGCTTCCGCTGTCGCGGTTGCTCGTCTCGCCTCGCTGCCAACAGTGCGGCTTGGCTCTCTCTTTCGTCGAATTGTGTGCACTCGTCCTTTTCCGGCCGCTCGTGCGTCTCCATGTTCCTTTTTCGGTGCGCTCGGACGTGTAGGTGTGTCCCTCCAATCTTTCTTCCTCCCTGCTCCCTTGTTCTCCCTACTCGCGTCCCGCTGCCCCCCGATCCCTCCCCACTTCTCCCTCCTCCCACGTCCTTGCGCATTCATCCCTCCTCCCCCCAATCCCCTGCCTCCGCCCCTTCCGTCCTCCGTCATCCCGAATCTCTCGTTTCTCCTCACCCATCCCCCATATTCCAGCTCCCTCATCTCTCCTCCCTCTTCCCTCCTCTCGTAGATGGACAAAAAAGCGGAACCCTTGACTCTGCCCCCTCCCCTCCCCCCACATTCAGAGTTGTTCCCAGACATTCGAGAGCGCAGGCTTGAAAGGACAAACAAAAACCTGGGGCCTCTCCACCATGCCGGAGCCCAACATTGAGTTGGGGGGAAGGGGGGGACGAACACGAGGGCGGGTGGGAAGGAGGACGGGGAAGACCTTCGACCTCGAACCAAGCCTTCTTTGGTTTTGCTTCATGTCTATCACACCCGTGATAAAGAACGCTGGTTCACGCCCCCTCGAGGCCCCCCGATGCCTCAATCAGAGGGCGGAGTCGTATCGACGACGAGGGGGTCCATTTGTTTGTCCCCTTACCGTCCCTCCTCCCTCCTTCCATCTCCCTCCTCCCACCTCCCTCCTCCCACCTCCCTCCTCCCTCCTCCTCCCCTTACCTCTTCTCCCTCCTCCCCCCTCCCTCCTCCCTCCTGCCTTCCGCCTCCTGCCTTCTGTCTCCCGCCTCTGCAACATCAGTCCTCCTCCTCCTCCTCCTGCTCCTCCTCCTCCGAAACAGCTTCTAAGCCAAGGCAAGCCCTGCCCAGATCACTCACGATGCTCCTTCGGGGTGCGGCCTGTAGCTCGTCGGCCTCCTGCCTCCTGCCTTCTCCTCCCTCCTGCCTCCTGCCTCCTGCCTTCTCCTCCCTCCTTCCTCCTCCATCCTCCCTCCTCCCTCCTCCCTCCTGCCTCTCCTCCCTCCTCCCTCCTCACTCCTCTCTCCTGCCTCCTGCCTTCTGCCTCCTGCCTTCTGCCTCTCCCTCCTGCAACCAGCAGTCCTCCTCCTCCTTCTCCCCCGAAGCAGCTTTTAAGCCAAGGCAGGACCTGCCCATAAAAACCCTCATGATGTTCCTGCGGGGCGCGGCCTGGAGCTCGTCGGCGAACGAGGAGGGGAAGTGAGAAGGAGAAGGCCCTCTCAGAAGGCGGCGGGACTTCTCGGAAGCCCTCAGGCCTTCTGAGAAGTCTTATGTGTCTTCGGGGAAGGCCTGAAACAGCTGTTCAGAAGGCCAAGGGATTTCCGAGCCTTCTGAGAAGGCCTTTTCCTTCTCAATTCCCCCCTGGGCTCACCGCCGAGTAGCGCCGTGTACATGTCTGCACATTGGGCACATTCTGGGCTTACGTTTTCCATTGCGCTGTATTTTCTGATCGGGCACAAATCATGTCTGTTCGTGGCTAACATGAACATTGTTGCGCATGCGAGAAAGGGGGGCTAGGCAGATCACCCGCCTGTTACCTCGCTGTGCGCTAATTTTGGTGAAGGGAGTGGTCTGCGAATCAAATATGACGGCTGTGTGCTTCCGGATGCTTTCATACTCGCGGTGTCCTTTTCCCCGTGCAGGGTGTGGCCGAAGCTCGGGGATGGAATAAACTGCTATCAACAAGCTGTTCCGTGAATGTCCAGTCTAAATTGGTGTACTGCCCGTTTCGTTATTCGGGTTGCAGGGTGGCGCAACTAGTTGTTGACGTTCGCTTGGCATGTCGCCAAGCGGAACCATTAGCGCTGCCGGATCCAAATTCGAGTTCGCTTCGCAAGAAGAGAAAGATCCAATGTGGGGAAACGGGTCATGGAATCCAAGGCGTTCCCCTGGCCGATGTCTCAACTGGAATGCTTGTTTTGACGGTCGGGGGGCCCAGGGAGAACCCCGGGAGGGAACTCCGAGAAGAACCTCGAGGCCCCTTTCCCTCAATACTCCTGTCTTTCTCATGGTTCTCCTTTGGGAAGGCGCCAACTACGCACCTACACCGACCCTGGCCAGGTCGATCCTGGGCGAAGAATCGGTGTATACGCCTTCCTCGCCGAGCCAGGACAGCATATACACCGAGCCTGGGCCCAGGATGTGCCTGGCCAGGATCGGTGCCGGCGTGTAGTTTGCGCCCCCCGATCCTCGCCATCGTGGGCTGCGTGATGCAACCGACGGTTTGACCGGAGCCCGCTCTCCACATGCCGCCCCGCCTTGCCGAAGCCGTGTCTACGCTCGTCCGTGTGCTCGCGGACGGCATGGCGGTCGGGGACGAGCTGTTGCTTTACGTCGCTGTGCGATCGGTCTCGCTCTGCCTCACCTCACCTCACATACTCCTTCTCCTTCCTCCCCCCCTGCTCCCTCTTCTATCCCCCCTTCGCCTCCGCTGACCTCAGTGTTTCCTCCTTCCTTCCCCATTCCTCTTACACAGCGCAGGCTCTGCAGATGGCCAAGTATTGCTATACAAACAGGAATATCGCCCCATTTCCCCACCTTAGAGCCTCCCTGGTCCCTGCTCTTTCTCCCTCCTCCCGCCTGCCTGCTTCCCTCCGCCTCCTTCCTCCTGCCCAAGCCCAAACCTTCCTCTTCCCTCCTCCTCCTCTTCCTCCTTCCTCCGCTTTCCCCTCTTCCGCCATGTCTTCCTCCTCTTCATCCTGCTGTCTTCCCTCTCCTACTGGCCGTGTCCTTCACGCGCGTCCAGGATGTGGCCTCCTCCTCTTCCTCCTCCTCCTGATCGTCCTCTCTGCTTCCTTCCTCCCAGTTCCTTCTCCCCCTCCTCCTCCACCTACTACCCTTCGCTCCATCTTCCCCTCCTCCTCGTCCTCTCCTCTACTCCTCATTCGTCCTCCATCCCCTGCTACGTCCTCCCTTTTTCCGCTTCCTCCTCCTCAGCCTCCTCCTCCTCCTCCTCCTCCTCCTCCTCCTCCTCCTCCTCTTCCTCCTCCCCCCCACGCCGCCTGAGATGGCGCCGAAGGCCGCGTCCACGGCAACGACGTCCAGCCGGCACCTGGGCAGCGAGCTGGCGTCGACGTCTGGGAGGACAAGCGCGGTCACCTCGGGGTCCTGGCGGTGTCCAAAGGTCCGCGCGGTGCAATGATTCCCCGGTTCCCTCTCGCTCTGCTCAAGTTTCGCGGTCATTCGCTTCGTTTTGCTACCTACTGATTACTACTACTACTACTACTACTACTACTACTACTACTACTACTACTACTACTACTACTACTACTACTACTACTACTACTACTACTACTACGACTACTACTACTACTACTACTACTACTACTACTACTACTACTACTACTACTACTACTACTACTACTACTACTACTACTACTACTACTACTACTACTACTACTACTACTACTACTACTACTACTACTACTACTACTACTACTACTACTACTACTACTACTACTACTACTACTACTACTACTACTACTACTACTACTACTACTACTACTAGACTACTACTACTACTACTACTACTACTACTACTACTACTACTACTACTACTACTACTACTACTACTACTACTACTACTACTTACTACTACTACTACTACTACTACTTACTACTACTTACTACTACTTACTGCTACTTACTACTACTACTACTTACTACTACTACTACTACTACTACTACTACTACTACTACTACTACTACTACTACTACTACTTACTACTACTACTACTTACTACTACTACTACTACTACTACTACTTACTACTACTACTACTACTACTACTACTACTACTACTACTACTACTACTACTACTAGTACTACTAGTACGACTACTACTACTACGACGACGACCACCACCACCACTACTACTATACTACTGCTACTACTACTACTTACTACTACTACTACTACTACTACTACCACTACTACCTACTACTACTACTACTACTCTACTACTACTACTTCTACTACTACTACTACTACTACTCTACTACTATACTACTACTACTACTACTACTACTACTACTACTACTACTACTACTACGCTACTACTACTACTAGTACTAGCACTACTACTACTACTACTACTACTACTACTACTACTACCACTACTACTACTACTACTACTACTACTACTACTACTACTACTACTACTACGAGCACTACTTCTACTACTTCTCCTTCTTATTCTACTACTACTACTACCACTACTACTACTACTACTACTACTACTACTACTACTACCGCCACCACTACTACTACTACTACGACTACTACTACTACTACTACTACAACTACAGCTACGACTTCTACTACTACTACTACTACTACTACTACTACTACTACTATTACTACTACTACTACTGCTACTACTACCACGACTACTACAACTGCGACTACTACTACCACTATCACTACTGCTACTACGACGACCACTACTACTACTCCTACGACTACTATTATTACTACTACTACTACTACTACTACTACGACTACTACTACTACTCTTACTACTACAACAACACCAACAAAATAACAACAAGACAACAACAACAACCACAACAACAACAACAACTACTACTACTACTACTACTACTACTACACTGCTACTTCTAGTTGCGGTCACGTGCACCACATCACCACGGCTCGACCACGTTGGGGCGAGCGTCCTGTGGTTGCCCCCATTACCCTTCAATGAGACACGCGCCAAACGGGGTGCGAGGCAAGGCGGGGCAGGCGCCGCAGACTGACGAAGCTGTCGCGTCGCGGACTTGGCCCATCAGGACGCGCCTGGCCCAAGACAGCCGCAGGGCGAATGGCGCGCGGAGCTGCCCCAGTGCCACTCGCCTCAGGCACGACCGCCAGGGCGCATCGAGACGGGCCAGGCCCAACGCAGCACAGGACGCGCAGCGCGCGGGGCTACCCCAGCACCGCCCGGCCCCAGAAGCGCGGGAGGCCCTATGCGGCACGGGCCTACAGCGAGAAACGGGGTAGGGAAAGCCAAACTGGCTGGCCGCGTAGTAGGGGTACCGAGGGCTGCGCGGCGACGCTGCAGACGGCCCGCAGCCCACGGGGCGGCCCCAGCGCTACGAGGTAGCAAAGGGCAAACGAGAGAGGCGATGGAAGAGCCTCAGGCAGCCAAAGTTGGAGGGCCCCAGCCATGATCAACGTCGGCGCGGCACTGATGCAACGCACCGTGTCAGAGCAGGCGGGTCACCATCCGCTCATCCGCTCACTCGTTCCTTCGCTCATCCTGGCCTTGGGGCCCTGGGGTCCTGGAGCCTCCGAGCCGCTCAGCTACTCGGCGCTCAGACGCCTCGGATGGGAGCGCGCTGACCTCCCCCCACCACTTGCTGCCCTCCGCCGCGGGGCCGAACAGCTTGACCTCGACGTTTGGCGGTGCGCCCGCAGGCGGTGGCGGCGGAACCTCTACGTTGGTCAGCGCCGCGGGCGCAGGCGGCGGCGGCGGCCCCACTGCCCCCGCATCGCCCGCCCCCTGGACCGCCTGCCGCCCGCCAGCGGGGGGGGGGCGCTCGAGGCCGCCGCTGCGCTCATCCCGCTGGCGAGGCTGCAGGCGCCCAGCTTGCGACGCGCATCGTAGTTCAGCATCGCCGCCCTCGCATCTTCGATCTTCTCGCGCTTTTTCCTGTTCCTGGTCTTATTGCTGTAGCCCGCCCAGTCAGGGGCATCGGGCCACCGCGCTATATGCGAGCACATGTCGCGCCAGCTGAACTCAGGGGCCCTCTCCCACATCAAGTCGCTCGCCAATGCCCAATGGCCCGACCATTCCTTCATCCGAGTAGTTATTGAACACGGTGCCCGCTGCCAAGGGCTCTACCTGCGGAAGATGCTGCAACGCATCCGCGGGGTTGATCACCGCGATGCCGCCCGTCTTGCCCGCAGCAGGGCCACCAGGTCCCTGGCGCACCCCATCGGGGAACGTGGCCTGCAGGTGCCGCGCCTTCGGCGGCTTGGCCGCGCGGTCAATCATCCCGATGCACGCGCCGAAGTTCGCGGTGCACCGAGCTTCGCAGCGACGGTGCCACCGCTGGCCGCCCCGCCCCCCGGCCTCCTCTTCCAGGGAGAGAAGCTGTGTCCAGCGGTCCGCGCGGATTTAAGGCCTTGCGCCCTCCTGGGTTGTCCGCAGTCTCGCGTGCATTGCACTTGTAATACATGTTCATCGTGAACTGGTCGTCCGTGAAGAACTGGTCGGAGTAGTCAGCCATCCTGCGGCGGGCCTCGCGCATGCCTGCGTCGCCGCCCGACTCCTCCCTGAAGGCCTTCTGGTTGCCAAAGTGTGCAGCCGCCCGCTCGCGCGCCTCCAGCAGCCATTTCACGCTCTCCTCGGCCGCGCACGCGCTGCCCTTCCCTTCGACTTTAGCTCGCAACTTGTCGCTGCCCTCTACGCAGGCGCCCAACTTCGCAAGCCAGGCCCCCATGCTCTCCGCACAGCCCACGGCCCGCATCATCCCCCCCCCCCCTCTTCCCGGGAGTGGCCCCGAGGGCCCCCTCCATGCGGGCCCGCGGGGTCTCGTGCCGCAACGTGGCGCAGCACCTCCCCGTCCGCTTGAGCGTCTTCTTGGAGTAGCCCATGTTGATGAGAGAGTGAACGTCTGCGGCATCCTCCACCAGCTTCCCGTCGCGGCCTTCGGGCCCCTCTGACGATTCGGAGCGCGGCGTCGCCGTCATCTCCCAATCGGCCGCGCTGTCCTCGGCCGGTGGCGGGGGCGCGCAAGGCCCCCCAGGCACCTCCGCCACCGCCATTTGACGCCCGACCTCCAGTGCGACCTCCTCCGCGGCAGGTGGCGCCGCAGGGCCAGCTCTCCGCCCCCAATGAGCGCGTAGCCGACCAGCGCGTCCAGGCTCTCCCCGAGCACGTTGAAGGACTCCTGGAACTTGGCTACACGGCCCCGCGAGTGTTGGATTGAACCTGCGTCTTTGTTAGTTCTCGCTGCCTTTGCGACTGCCTCCCGTTCCTCTATGTTATCATGCCTGGCTACGCATCTGGAGCATGAGTAAGCACATCGGCTGGTCTGCTTGCCGTACCGCAGCCTCGGGCACCTGGGGTTCGCTTCCAACGCTTGCCCGTGGCGGCCCATCTCGGCGCCCGACAGCTCCTCGACCCACTCCATCTCCATGACTTTCCAGCCATCAAGGGCATGGGGGCGTTGGCGTCCGTCTCCGCCCGCGGTTGCATTCGCCCATGTGCTGATCTGGCGTTTCGGCGGCGACTCCGTTTGGAGCCCCGCCCTGCCCCGTCGGCCACGGCAGCACTCGGCGCATCGCTGCGCGCCTCACCGTCATCCGCTGCGCCGGCAGCCTCGCCTGGATCGCTGCGGGCCCCCGCTGCAGCTCCTCTGCCCAACTGCCCCCGCAGCTGCATGGCCTCGAGCGCCGTCGTCAGCTTATCCAGCCCGCCCTTCTGGTCCTCCGCGAGACCCGCATGCGGACCACATCCAGCATGGCCCGGGCAGCTGCAACGGCGTGCTTTGCAAGCATAGGGGGCCTGCGCGCCGCTTGGCGGGGAGGCGCTGAGGGCTGCCCCCGTGCCTCCCCGCCCCTCGGCTTCAGGCCCTTCTGAGGCGCTGGGCACAGCGGGAACGCGCGCGAATACCTCGTCGGAGATGTCGGCGAGGTCAATCGGGAACGCGTCGCCGTCGGAGAGGCCCACCCTGGTCGGGGCGAGGCGCGCGGGGCCCCCCCGATACCTCAGCCACCGCCATCGGGCGCCCCACCGCCATGGCGACCTCCTCCATGGCTGGCGGTGCCCCCGCGCTGGACGGGTCAGCGCCCGCGTTCGCTCCCTCGCTGGCATCCGCCGCCTCGATCTCCATCTGCGGCTCCGTCTGCGTCCCAGGGACTTCAGGTTGGGCTTGTGCTTTAGGTCTGGCCTTGGCCTCCGCTTTGGCTTTGGCCTTGGCGTTGAGCGCCTCGCGAAACGGCGCGGGGTCGTGGCTCGCTGAGGCGGGGCGGGTAGCTGCTGGCCAGGGTATCGCAGCAGGCTTCGAGAGCTTCGGTGCCATGGCGTCGCTGCGCCGCGTGAACCTCGCGATCCAAACAGCTGCGGTTGAGATGGGGGAGGCAAGAAAGGCCACGCGCCGAGCTGACAGAAGGGGGGCCGATTCCCCACATGAAACTGAAAAAGGGGGCAAAACTACAGAGGTTGGATCGGCCCGTCTTGACAAAGAGCAGAGTCGCGGACACAAAAAGCGCGGGCCCACACCCGTTCAGAGCGACCGCAGGAGGCAGGAAAGAGAGAAGGGGGACACCCGCGTCACAGGCACGCGTCGTCTCCTCAGGCACGCCGTCGCGGGCCCCAGGACCCTCGGGGCTACCCCGACCCAGGTCGCCGATCCCAGCCACTTGACACTGGCTGGGCGAGTCGCTGGCCCGCTGTGCTCCTGATGGGCCAGACTCACAAGTGACAACATCGCATGTCAGAGAGACCTGGGGCACGCTTGCAATTTTCTCGCCCTCGTGTGAACCGAGCTCAAGACAAACGAAATGCAAGGAAAGAGGAGACTCTCACGGATGAGGCAGATGGAACAGAGGGCAGGGGCGGAGAGCGGGGATAGATGCGGAACCTAGTCAATGCCGAGCACGCGGGGCTGCCCCGGCGCTCGGCATGACGCCCTCTGTGGCGAGAGCAATTTAATCGGCCACCTGGCCCTGCAGGGCCCTGGCAACCGAGGACCGAAGAGAGCACCTCGCGGCGTGGCGCTCCCCCTCAGGGAGCTCACCAAATCATGCGCCTCAGCCAGGTCTCCGCC